GCGGTGCTGGGAGGTGGGGCTTTAATGCCGTGCAGGTCCTCTACGAACGAGCTAGCCTCGGCGGCGGCGGCGGCATCAGCATCATTGTCGTCATCGGGGCCTCCCTCCCCACCCACCCGTGCTCTTTTTATTTTTTTTAGGTAAAGTCCAGATTGGCTGCACCCTCACTTTCTCACTTTGTAGCTGAGGCTGGCCTTGAATTCCTGATCCTTCTCCTCAGACTCCCAAGTGCTGGGATTTTAGGCACATACTACCTTGACTTTGAGATTTCAGAGCCATGAGAATAGAGGTCACTAGTGAGCCGTTTCCGCCCCTGCCCCTCAGCAGCCCTGGCTCCTACAGCCTGCTGGGTTTGTCTGGGCTTCACTTGGCAGTCTCAGGGTGGTGCTTGAGGCAGATCCCAGACATGGCATCATTCCCCACTTGATCATTTTGTTATGTAGCTCTAAAAAAGAAAGACTTAGGGCTCGGTGAGGTGGCTCAGAGGGTAAAGGCGCTTGCTACCAAGCCTTGCAACCTGAGTTCCATCTGCAGGGTTTATGGAGGAAGGAGAAAACTGACTTCTCCAAGTCATTCTCTGACTGTCACACTTGCAGTGTCACATGTGCACACCCCGTCCCCTCCCTCAGCACACAAAGTTAATGAATAAAAATATAATACAGAGCTGGTGGTTGCATGGTCCCAGCCCTCAGGAGGCAGAGGCAGGTGGATCTCTTGAGTTCAAGGCCAACCTGGTGTACAGAGTGAGTTTAAAAGATAATGACTTACATCTTCATAATGGTGAACAGGAATTGCCTGGTCATCAAATATACACACGGTGGTTAAATTTCCATAACGTGTGCGTGCATGGGATTTCTTTTCAGAAGTCAGTCTATCCAGATGTGGGGACATGTCTATTTGTCCTCTCCTCCACCCCCATGTATCTGCTGGGACTCACTAGACAAGCCCCTGCTGGATGTGAGTCATCTCTTGGGGCAGGAAGATGGGGAGGCTGGCTAGCTGTCATGTGTTACAGAGAGCTAGGTGAGGAAGGCCAGGAGATACAGGGAAGGGTGGGTGCTGTGGGCCTGAGGTAGGAAGCAGTGGTAACAGGGTCTCTAGAAAGTAAGCCATGTCCTGTGTGGCATGGCTGTGGGGGGTAGGTCAGCTGAGCCGGTCTGGAGGCTGACGGACTGCTCTAGTAAATGTGAGATGAGTAGGAGTTGTGAACCGTGGGACGGAGCTTGGTGGCTGTCACCGCTTTGGTTCCCAGGTCTTGGTAGCTGGCCTTAAGGTTCTGCCTCCTTCCCTTCTCCGACCCCTGCTGGTGCCCCCACCCCAGGGTCTCTGTGTAGCCTTGGCTGTCCTCGAACTCACAGAGATCCGCCTGGCTCTGCCTCCCGGGTGCTGGGATTAAAGGTGTGCACCACCACCGCCCGGCCTTCCCTCTCACGTCTCTCCCTCCCTCCTCTCTCTCTTGTGGTACTGGGGTTGAGTGCAGAAGTTAGCACAGGCTAGGCAAATGCCCTGCCACTGAGCCTCCTTCCTAAAAGTTTACTTTGAGACAAAGTCTTTTTTTAAATAACTTACTTATTTTTGTGTGCATTGGTGTTTTGCCTGCATGCATGTCTGTGTGAGGGTGTCAGGTCTTAAGAGTTACAGATGGTTGTGAGCTGCCATGTGGTGCTGGGACTTGAACCTGGGTCCTCTGGAAGAACAGTCAGTGCTCTTAACCACAGAGCCATCTCTCCAGCCGAGACCCTGAGACTTGTTAAATTGTCCAGCTGGCCTTGTACTCTATTCTTCTGCCTCAGCCTCCTGAGTAGCTGGGGCTATAAATGTATAGTATCACGATTGCTTAATCTGAGCTCTTGAGGGCCACTAGCCCTGTGTGTGCTTTCTTTCTAGGGCAGTACCACTGTCCAGTGCTGTACTCCGTGTTCACTGACAACACCCATATTGTGGCCATCAGGACAACTGGCAATGTCTACACCTATGAGGTAGGCCCCATTGTAGTGAGTGGGACTGTTCCATGTGGGGATAGTCCAGAAGCTTGGCTGAGTGCTGGGGGTGAACCAGGAACAGTGAGCTTGCCTGTCTTCATGGGCTTTACAGCCTCAGCACAAGGCATCATATCTGGTTAGGTAGCCACTTTGCTTTATGAGGGTTTAAAAGAAAGATCTGGTGACTTCAGCTGGGTGGTGGTGGCACACATCTTTAATCTCAGCACTCGGGAGGCAGAGGCAGGTGGATCTCTGTGAGTCCGAGGCCAGCCTGGTCTACAAAGTGAGTTCCAGGACAGCCAGAGCTACACAGAGAAACCCTGTCTCGAAACAACACAAACACAAAACCAGGGGACTCTGGTGGCCGTTGGACCCTGAAACTCAGGCAGGCAGTTTGAGTCGCCCAAGCAAAGGTTCCTTGTATCTCAGGGAGTCTTCCCGTGTCTTCAGCGTGGACCCGACTCTGGGAGGAAGCTGGGAGACAGGGGAGGCCAGGCTCTTAGGAAGGGGAGTTGCCATGTCGGTGGGAGGGACATGAGCGCTCTCCCTGCTCAGACCAGGACAAGCAGCAGTCTGTGGCACGGGAGAGCCCAGGTTAGACCTCTTGCCTGAAGCAGCCAGGTTGGTTTAGCTCGTCTCTGCCAGGGAGGTAAGAGCATCTGAGACGTGCAGCCCAGGGTGGCTCTCTGTGTGCTGGTTTACCTCTCACCTCTGTGCCATGGCCTAACGGGGTTGTGACCCCTCTGTCCTGCTGTAGGCAGTGGAGCAGCTAAACATCAAGGCCAAGAACTTGAGGGACCTATTGACTGACGAGCCCTTTTCCAGGCAAGACATCATCACCCTGCAGGTGAGTGGCTTCACGGGGAGAGCTTCACCTTGACCTCAGCTCTGCTCTCTGCCTTCCGGCTCTCCTCCCCAGTCTTGGTGGTCTTCTGTGCCGTAGCGTCCCTGGCCACTGCTCCCCCGTTAGTGCCGTACCTTCCCCGACAGCCACCGTGGACCTTGACTGCCTGTGGCCCTCATGGCTCTGTGACCCGGGGGCCACCTCTGTCCACAGCATCACAGGCACCAGGACACGGGCTGCTCTGCAGATTCTACCCCATCCTCCAAGAGTAGCATCAGGCACAGGTGTCCCCTTCGGTGGTGGGGGATGGTGAAAACTGACAGGAAGTGGGGTTCCTGGCTGGAGCATAGGCTTAAAGGACAGTGTGGCTTGTTCCTGATTGAACCTTGGCCCATGGCGGCCCAGTCTGCATCTTGTGCTACCTGGCACAAGTCTTGCTGCTGCTTTCTGTGCCCTAGGGCAGGGAGCAGGGCTGGATGAGCTGCTAGGCAGCAGCCTGTTCCCTGCGCTGCACCACCTCTGCCTGTCGCCCTGTCAGGACACAGCCTCCTTCCCTGCTGCACTCCCTCGTCCTCACACAACCCAGCTACAGTCTCTTCCCTGGTGCTCCTCCTGAGTGCTCCTCCTGAGTGCTCCTCCTGAGTGCTCCTCCTGAGTGCTCCTCCTGAGTGCTCCTCCTGAGTGCTCCTCGACACCTGCAGCAGGTGCCGGTCCCAGTCCTGGTGCTCCTCCTGAGTGTTCTCTTCCTGTCACAGGACCCCACCAATCTGGACAAATTCAATGTTTCCAACTTCTTCCATGTGAAGAATAACATGAAAGTCATAGATCCAGGTATGGACAATGAAGGGCTGCTGGGATAGAGTATAAGTGTGCTTCTCGGGCCAGCCCTTCCTTCCGGGTGGCTCAGACACTGGCTCCAGAGTGACTTTGGATTAACTAGGCCTCAGATTTCTTTTTTTGGGGAAGCCCTGGTTGTCCTGAAATTTGCTGAATAAATGAGGTTGGCCTCAAATTGGCAGTGTCTCCTGCTTCTGCCTTCCTAGTGCTGGGGTTCCAGGCATGCACCATCATGTCTGTCAGGCTCCATGCGGTCAGAGAAGCGCCTGACTGGAGTCTTGGACATACCGGGACACCTCACGTTCCCTTTCTTAGCTCTGGTGGCCCTGTGGTTTTTGGATTCCTTTGCCTGCTGCTCTTCCCAGGGCACACTGATATAGGGGCTGCAGGTGAGACTCTGGGTGACATCAGACCTTTCCAGGGTACAGTTAGACTGGGCCCTTGGTCCTCTTGCTTCCTGTGTTTGGCCTATGCCGTTGAGCACGCGATAACATGCTATGGAGTGGCTGAAGTTTCTGAGCTCACTTGTTCCATGCCAAGGAACCAGCTAGACTCATGCCCAGAGCTTAGTTGGCCCACCTCAGCAGGAAGCAGTATTCTCACGCTCATAACAAACACTGTGGACTAGTCAGGATTTAGGGAGGTAGAACAACTCCGGAATAACTGAGCTCAGGAGACCCAGAGCCAGGCCTAGGGATGCTCACTGCCCAGGAAGTTAACAGCCTTTGGCCTAGCAGCAACATGTGCACAGATGGGGCATTTCATGTATGAAATACCCCAGACCTCCTTCCCATGAAATAAGCACACGCCTTTAACCCCAGCACTCGGGAGGCAGGGGCAGCTGGATCTCTGAGTTGAGGCCAGCCTGGTCTACAGAGTGAGTTCCAGGAGAGCCAGGGCTACACAGAGAAACCCTGTCTTGAAAAACCAAGAAAAAAGAAAAAGCAGCATTTTTAAAATCACAAAAGCAAAACACTGTGAAAAGGTTGCAGTGTACAGGTTAATGTAGAACAGTGACACTTAAGTGCAGAGCATCCTGAGACGCCACTGACCGGATGAGGGAGACCCCGCTCGGCCTGGCCCCACAGTGCTGTGCCGTGTGAACGCCCACCTTGCTGCGCCCGCGAGTGCTGCTGCGAGATGCCCGGGCAGTAGGCTGCGGCTGTGCTATCCGGAGAAGCCCGTCTTACCAGCCCACCGTGGCTTCCGCTCCATCTCTGTTCCCGTTATGCTCGAGTTGAGACTCTGGCTGCCCAGTGCCTGTTCCCTGTTTTGTAGATGAGGAAAAGGCCAAACAGGACCCGTCTTACTATTTGAAAAATACCAATGCTGAGACCCGAGAGACGCTGCAGGAGCTCTACAGAGACTTCAAAGGAGACGAGGTGTTAGCAGCCACCATGAAGGCACCTGAGAAGAGGAAGGCGGACCCCCTGAATGCCGTGAGTGGCTGCTCTGGCTCTGCCTCTGACCAGTGGGAAGATCCTGGGCAAAGTGCAGACGGGGACGCACCTGGAGGTGTGGTGGCTGGGCCCCTCCCAGTGGGATGGTTGACGAGCTGGGGTCCCCTGGCAGCAGTAGGGCAGCCTTGTGCTGGGGCCCTGACCCAGCGCCACGCCTCGGCTGTCCCTGGCATTCCAGAGGCAGCTTCTGCATTTCAGGACAGAGATGGAAGGGCTGCAGGTCTGTGATGGCTGCAGGTCTGTGATGGCAGCGGGGCTGGGGCTGCCCGGGCTGCCGAGGTCTTAGACCTTGCCTAGGCCTTACCTGGGGCGCGAGTGCTTGTCTGCCCGAGGTCCTGTCTGCAGTTACGGTGCTGGAATTTCTGCAGCACACTTAGCTGATAGGTGCTGTCTTTCTTTCCTAGAAAGCTTCAGCCATGGAAAAGACAGAGGCGGGGTCTCCCATATAGGGAGTTATCCAGGGAAATTTGGAAAATTAGGTAGAGTTCATTGTCTGTAATTCCTACTTGAACACAGGCACTGCCGCCATGCTGAGCAGTCCTCATCCCTCCTCTGAATGATGAAGAAACACATTTAAAGAGATGATGTGTTTCCTGGAAAAATACATAACTGGGTTAGAGAGGTGGATCAGTGGTTAAACACTTGTCCTTGTTGAGAACCAGGTTTGCGTCTACCTGGTACCTACATGGCAGCTCATAAAACCATCCAGGGGCTCCACCCCCCTCTTCTCACCACTGAGGGCACCAGGCATGCACGGGGGTGCGGGGTGTGTGTGTGTGTGTGCGCGCACACGTGCACACATACACGCACGGGCAGATACACATGCAGCAGGCAGAGCACTCGTACAGAGTCATGACTTAGTATTGTTAGTCCTGACTTACTGTTGTTAGTTTTGACCTGTTTGAGGCCTTGGGCTCTGATTTCCTCAAGTAGGCCTTCAATTGTTCTCTTGGTACCAGTAATGTCGTATCTGGTCCCTGCTGGCTCTCCGTCTGGGCTCTCCCTGTGCCTGTGGGTGGTGGTCAGAGGCTGGCCTTGAGGAGAGGTGACGCAGTCTGAGCACATGGTTTTCTTGTAGGCCCACTATTCCACAGGAAAGGTCAGTGCGTCCTTCACCTCCACTGCCATGGTGCCTGAGACCACGCATGAAGCAGGTAGCTGTCTATGTCCCCTGTTCACTGGGACAGATTCACCGTGGGAGCAAGTAGGGCGTCCTGCTGACTTGCTTCAGCACCCCATTGTGCCTTCACTTGAGTCTCTGGGGGCTGGGTGCTTCTGGAAGGTGGGCTGTGTTGAGTCAGGAGGCATTCTCACTGTATGGCGCGCAGTGCCCTGCTCTCAGGCCCCTAGAGCCGCTGGCACCATTGTCCTTGAATGATCCCCCTTAGCCTCTGGCTCCGGCACTCTTCTCAGAGCTGGGGTGGGCCCGAATGGAGGAGCTCCCTCAGGTCAGGGCAGGTGCCGAGCTCAGGACTTGTTTGCAGCTGTCATTGATGAAGATGTCCTGCGCTACCAATTTGTGAAGAAGAAGGGCTATGTGAGGCTCCACACCAACAAGGGTGACCTTAACCTAGAGCTGCACTGTGACCTGGTGAGTATGTGCCTGTTCCCAGGTGGTTCTGGGGGATTTGAGTAGCCATGTCTTAAATGTGGGGCTGTAGTTTACTTCTAAGAAATCCTGCTTGATTGCAGCTGAGAACCAAAGTACCCTAGCTTTGTTCCCTGGAGGTCTAGCAACATAGTCTGCCTCTTTGGCTCCCTCGCTAGGTGTGTGTGCAATTTGGAGGGACAGGCCCTGGCTCCCCTCGCTAGGTGTGTGTGCAAGTCGGAAGGACAGGCCATGGTTCCCCTAGCTTCTGCCATGTGTCATGGCTGCAGGACTCTGTTGCTTACTTAGCTTTGGGGGTCAGACTGAACCAAGGTCTGCAGACAAGTAGCTCCCTGTTGTGACTAAAGGCCTACATGTCTTTGTGACTCTGCTGTTGACCACTGTGCCTCATAGAATATTGGGATATTTTGCAGACACCAAAAACCTGTGAAAACTTCATCAAGCTCTGCAAGAAACAGTATTATGACGGTACCATCTTTCACAGGTCCATCAGGAACTTTGTGGTGAGTGGTACATGTTGCTGCTGGCTATGATGCTTGATGACATGGGCAGCATCCATGAACCAAATGGGCTTGTACCTGCCCTGTCCCAGACACCTGGTTTAGGCTATGTGTGACCAGGGTAGGGTCTTCAGGTGTATCTTGTGCCAGGGATCCTGTAGCTGGCTCTTGAGTGCTCGCCCAGAAAGACCTGGGGTCAGAAAGGAGGTCCCTGTCCTTACTGTAGCCCATGCCATTGGGAAGCCTGTCTGGTTAGTAGGTAGGGTGAGCAGTGGGTGATGGGCAGCATCAGAGCCAATGACCTCACTGGGTTTTGTTTTTACAGATCCAGGGCGGTGACCCGACAGGTACAGGCACAGGTAGGTGCCGGGCCTGTCCACTGGAGTAATGCATGTAGCTGTACTATGGGGCCTAGTGGAAGCTGGGTCTGAAGAGCTCTGGATGTGGAATCTCAGACTTTGGGGTGCGGGTGGCTTGCAACTCAGTGTCTGGCCTTCTGGGCCACCTTGGGCATGCCCCTTAGTTTTCCCACGGAGAGGAAAGTGTGAGGTCCTCAGAACCCACCTGCTCACTGACAGGAGGGTTGCCCATGCCCTCCCGTCATATAATAAGGTGGTCCCATGGCTCCTACAGGGCGTGATAACCTTTTCCCCAAGCTCTCAGCTCCGTGGGCCAACTATGACTTCCACCCACGTGTTTGAGTGATTCCTTGTAGCTGTGGCCCTGTGCCCCGGCCCACAGAGGGGAATGAGTAGTCTCAGCTTGATGAAGGAAGGCACTAGGATCTAGGGTTGTCCAGAAGGGGGCCTCAGGGCAGGGCGCTCTCTCGGATGCTCCTCGACTGGGCTCTGTGGCTGACCGCTGACCGCTCTTCTATTCCAGGGGGAGAATCGTACTGGGGCAAGCCTTTCAAAGATGAGTTCCGCCCCAACCTTTCACACGCCGGCCGTGGGGTGCTCAGCATGGCCAACTCGGGGCCCAACACCAACAAGTCTCAGTTGTGAGTCCAGGTCCCGCTGTTCTTGCTCGGCTGCTGGGGTGGTTTTCAAAGCGCCTGGAGTTCTCCCCTAAAAGTTGTGCTGGGCCCAAGTCAAATCCAAGTGTGGTAGTGCACAGGCAGATCGAGCACAGGCCCCTCCAGGAAAGGAGCCCAAATCAGCTGGTAGAATAGCATTTCGAGTTCCAGGGAGTGGGCATGAGAAGGTCCCCAAAGGCCTCTTGAATGCACCAGGCAGAACCAGGAGTGTGTGGGTGCCGGGGGCCATGCAAGGTCCAGTGCTTTGGGACAGGTGGTTGGGGAGAGGTGCTGATGTCTGAGGCAGTGTGTGTGGTGGTAGGTGGGAAGGCTCTTGGGTGTCTGGTCTTGTGTTTTGGAATAGGTGTGTATTGTGTTCTACATTTAAGAATATATCTTTCTCTTCTTTTTTGTGCTGGGGTGTGAACCTAAGGCTTTGTGCATGCTAAATACATACATGCTATGCCATTGAGAACTGTCTCCGGCCTGGCTATATCTTTTATCTTTGAGTATAGTTTTGTTATTTTCTTTTTTAAAATTTTTTTTTTGAGACAGGGTCTCATTATGTAGTCCTGGCTCTTGTGGAACTCACTATGTAGACCAGGCTGGCTTTGAACTTACTGGGTTCTGCCTGCCTCTATATCCCGAGTGCTGTGTTTGAAAACATGCACCATCACAATTGGCTACAGCTGATTTTATGTGAGGGTGTTCGTGCCACATTCTGCACGTGGAGGTCAGAGGACAACTTTGTGGGGTCAGTACTGTCCTTCCTCCACCGGTTGCGTCTAGGTTGCCAGGGTCACACAGCAGGTGTGTCCACATGCCAAGCCAGTTTGTCAACTCAGTTTCATCATTTTCTGTGTGTGGGTCTTCTGTCTTCCTGAACAATGCTTATCCTAAGGAATTTTATTATTTGTGGGTTTTTGTTTGTTTTGTTTTTTCAAACAGGGTTTCTCTATGTAGCCCTGGATGTCCTGTAGACCAGGCTAGCCTCGAACTCACGAGATCCGCCTGCCTCTGTCTCCTGAGTGCTGGGATTAAAGGCGTGGGCCACCAGCCAGCTTACATTGATACAAAGTTTCATTATGTAGCCCTGGTTGATTGTACTGGAACCCTGCCTGTGGAACAGGTGTGGGCCATCACACAGCTACAATCAGATAGTCTTTTTTTAAAAATGTGCATTGGTGTCTTGCCTGCATGTATGTCTGTACCAGGGTGTTGGATCTCGAGTTACAGACAGTTGTGAGCTGCCGTGTGGGTGCTGGGAATTGAACCTGGGTCCTCTAGAAGAGCAGTCAGTGTGCTTAACTGCTGAGCCATCTCTCCAGACCCTGCAATCAAATCTTAAAAAAAAAAAAAGTAAATTACATGTATGGGTGTCTTGCCTGCATGTATGTTTGTATACTCATGTATGTTTATGCCTGAGGCCGAGGAGGCCGGAGAGGGACTGGTCCCCGGAGTTACAGGTGGTTGTGTGAAGTGCTAGGAACAGAACCCTGGTCCTGGGAGAGCAGCCAGGTCCTTTAACTGCTGAGTCATCTCTCCAACTCCTCACGGAGTTTATAGGAGGAGTTTCTTTGTAGGGATTTGAGCTTATCAGAGAAAGACATCTTTCCATGTCATCGGTCACTGTGGGTTGTTGGAGGTAGGCACATGCGTGTCCTGCCGTTCTCCAGATGAAATGGGGTCTTGTAGTCTGCTAACATTTGACACTGGACTTGGATCTTAGGATAGGTGGCCGGAGGAGTTGCCGGAGGTCTAGTTTTTAATGTCTGTCTCAATGATCACATGGCTATTCTCTTGGTCATATGACTGACCTGTTGCTGTTGGGTGTGGATATGAGAGATGTGCACAGAAAATAATTTTACATTGTGTGCCAGCCGAACTTGCACCCTGACTACTTATGTTTGCTGGGCCCTCTTTCCAGGGCATGTGACAGCTTTATTTTGACCATCATTTCCTTAGTCTTCTCAGAAACTTAAAAAAACAAAAACAAAAAACCACCTAAATATTTCTGTTGCATTTGTTTCCCCTGTTGCTGTTTTTCACTTCCCTCTTACTTTCTTCAGGTTTTTTCCATTCTTTTTCTAGCTTCTTTGATGATGTTAGAAATTCACAAGCTAGGTGTGGTGGCACACACCTGTGGGGTGGAGCAGCAGGAGCAGCAATCCAGTCATCCTGGTTCCAAATGAGTCCTTCAGCCAGTGACGAGGCTTAGACTGTGCATAGGTGTGGGCGTGATGTCTCAAGACTTGCCTGGTGGCCTCAGGAGCGCCCCTGCTTGCGGGGTGATGCGTGTTCATTGCAGCTACAGATGCAGTCCTCTGTGGCTCACAGTAGGACCGAGTCCACCCACCACCTTGTGACCTCACCCCTCCTGCACTGCAGCCCACCCCGAATACTTTGTGCTTCCCATTGTATTTATTTAGAGTAAGGCGCAGGCCCCTGTGATGGGGCTGCAGGGGTGAGTCCCCACACTGCTTTCCTCACGCTGTCACCCCTTGACAGTCTGTAGTCTGGGGCGTCCCCCAAACAGCACATGCCTGCCCTGTTCCCTTCATCCTGGTAGGGCTCTGCCTTCCTGGGCATAGTCTGATAGCTAGCTCAAGCCTCCAGTCTCTCCTGCTGGCTCTCATGGGATCTGGCAGCCAAGCTCTGGGCTTTCTCCAGTTTCTCCTGAGGAGCAGTCATTACTAGAGCTAGAGCATGCTGGGTGGGCCGGCTGCTTCCCTGACCTCCATGTGCCTTCCCCAGCTTCATCACGTTCCGCTCCTGCGCTTACCTGGATAAGAAGCATACCATCTTCGGACGGTAAGAGCAGGCGCTGTGCAGGGCCGCAGTGCACCATGGGCCTTCACTGCCTTTTCCTAGACCTGGGTGTAACCCTGCACTGTCCCCGCTGAGGACTCGGGGTATTCTTGGGGGGGGAAGGTTGGCTCTCCAGGCCTGTGGAGCCAAGGAGACCTGGGCCGCTCTACCTCCTCTTCTCTCTCAGGGCCCCTTCCCCTTTCTCCTCAGCCCCGAGTCTGAGGGTCAGCAGATTTTCCCACAAGGACACACAGTCTGCTGATGACTCAGTTATAGAGTTACAGGGGGAAAGATCTAGGTACAAAGGATTATTAGTTCCTGGCCGGCCTCAGTTACTTGTGAGTTCGAGGCCAGCCTGGGTTATATAGACCATGCCTTAGCAAACTGAGGGAAACAACGTATGGAAACAAGGACTTGACTCAGCCACCCTGGCTGGGTGTGGTTTGCCGCCCCCTTCTCTGCTGTGGCTCATCCTGTCCTGCCTGGTGACTGGTCTGGCCTGAGGCCCTCCACTGCCAGGCCTCCTCTTGGCATGTCTCGACTCTGCCTTGAGGGTACGCTGCTCAGAGTACACGAAGACCCCCTCTGTCCCTCTGCTACAGGGTTGTTGGGGGTTTTGACACGCTGACAGCTATGGAGAATGTGGAGAGTGACCCCAAAACTGACCGTCCTAAGGTATGTACCGAGGGGGATGGAGGACCAGCCTACTGGGCGCTGGCGGGGAGTCTGCTCCCGCTCACGGAGCCTTTCTGCTGTCCTCCTTCCACCAGGAGGAAGTATGTATATGCACAACCACAGTGTTTGTGGACCCCTATGAGGAGGCTGATGCTCAGGTGAGGAAGGGGTCGGCAGGTCATGCTGTTGGTTGGACACACCCTGGGGGCTCTGGATCAGCCCTGTGCTCCCTCCTAGCCCCCACTCTGGGGCTCTGGATCAGACAGTTGTGTTACCCCCAGATTGCTCAGGAGCGGAAGAAGACACAGCAGCAAGTGGATCCAGAGGCCAAGGTCAAGAGCCAGCCCCCGCCTGGAAACCAGGGCCCCCAGACATACCGCCAGGGGGTCGGCAAGTACATCAACCCAGCAGCCACGTGAGTGTGCTTGATGGGTGGCATCTCTGGAAGCTGGGACCTCTTCATCGTGCTCCTAGGGGGTGACCAGACTGGAGACTACAGCTAAGAGGTCTAGACAAGGCCCCTGTGCAGGCCAGGATGCTGTCATGGCTGGGGCTGTGGGAACAGCACTTTGTAGGGAGAGTGCTTCTAAAGTTCCAGAAAGCTCTCTGTGAACGGAGCTTCCTCAGAGGACTCGGGTATGGGCACCTGGCTCCTTTGTGGCAACTGGAGTCGTTTCCTTTGTGTCTCAGGAAGCGAGCGGCAGAGGAGGAACCATCAACCAGCACAGCTGTCCCCACGGCCAAGAAGAAGCCCAGCCGGGGCTTTGGGGACTTCAGCTCCTGGTAGCAGCAGGCTGGCTTCATGGACCCTGGTAGGGGCAGGGCTGTGGGCTTCAGGGTCGGTCTCAGCTGCCTGCCCTTGTCAGTTTAGGCTGGGAGCCAATAAACCTCTTGCCTGTGGCTGGGTCCAGTTTTGGCCCCTGGGACCCCTGGCTTCCCCACCCCTCGGCTGTACCCGTCTTGGATTAGTGAGGAGGGCTGTGTGCTCTACCCCCACCTGGCCCACCTCTGCCTCAGGACGGCTGTGGGCTCTACCCCCACCCGGCCCACCTCTGCCTCAGGACGGCCGTGGGTTCTACCCCCACCCGGCCCAC